ATACAATTTCATTGATATTTTGAATATAAATTCTGATATTTTATTTATATTTTAATTAATTTGACAACGCATATGAATCAAAAAATCCTTGACATTATATTCTCCGTCATTTAAACGTTTTAAAGCTGTTTCAAGCTTTTGGCTTGTGCAGCTATGGTCTATATTCCGAACTCCATTTACCTCTTCGTATAGAAACTTCATATGAGTTTCGTTTACAAGGCTCATCAATTTTTGGAGAAAGCTATAGATGTTTGGCCTTGTTGGTATGTTTTCTAAAATAATGAATTTGAATTAAAAAAAAACCGTAACAAAATATAAACCATTAGGTATTTAATACAGTACAAGCTCGATAATATTTTTTTGCTTCTTGTTAGTTTATCGAGCTTATACTGTAATAAAACGCAATACTTACTTTTCATTTTCGCAAATAAACTTTCAACGTAATTGTTGGTTCTTGCTTCAACATCGGAAACACAAAAGACATCTGCAGTAACTTGTCTCATCCAAAAGTTTTCAAAAATGTGTTAAATTTAAAGGCCCTGTGTAAACGATACTGGAAAAGAAAGAATAAATTTTAATATATTTTAGAAACGATGATGAAAACGCTTTCTCAATTGAAATAAAAACAAAAAATAAATTTTATACTTACTCGTTTTTGAAGCGCAATGATTTCCATTACTCCGTTCTCTATACGTTCTCTTGGAAGTAGAGGCAGTTGCTGATACATTCCAATTAAACGTTTGGTGGATATTTGTGCTTCGTTTAAATTTGATTGTGCCGAATAAAGTGGGCCTAGTTTGTCTTTTGCATTACGTCGAATAGCTTGGCAAAAATGAAACCAGCATCCTATCATTCTTGCTTCTGGCCAAATATTTTCCACAGCATTTCTTATGCTGGCTTCATAGTCGGCCATCACTTTTGATGGAACAATTCCTTTATTTCGAAGGAATTTGAAGACAACTTTATATGAACGAATATCCTTATTCGTCATCATAGCAATGGCGATGAGATGTGGCTGTATTAAATGTATAAAAATAATTTTAAGTTTTTTAAAATATATATAATAAATATGACATGATATTCATGTTAATAGTATTTCCTAAGGAAATAAATATCACATGATATTCATGTTAATATTAAATCCTAAGGAAATAAATATCACATGATATTCATAGGATTCCTAGGAAAAATCTTAATCTAACCTTTAGTTAATCCTGAAATTTCTTAATCCTGCCTGCAATTTTCCTAGGATTCCTAGTATTCCTAGGATTCCTAAGATTCCTAGGATTCCTATGCATAGGATTCCTAGGATCAGAGTTGGGCGATCCAAGAATTTTTTGGATCGCNCATTTCAATTGTTTAAATGTGCTTCTTTTCATCAAAAATCCAACAAAATTACTTCAAACTCGTAAATATTACAAAGTATTAACATAAGTAAGCCATTTCATTTGATACCATTTTCATGAAAATTCCACAAATTTGAAAGCATTTTTAAGGCTGCTTAAAGCCTTTCCTAAATATTCGAAGTGAATGCTTCCTTTTATTCATGTTTGATATTGCTTTGTTCTCCGTTAATACATAAATATCTTGAATAATGCGAAATGAATCTCTTGAAAAGCTTCACCACAATCTAACTGACATAATGAAAAACAAAAGTCTCAATTAACCCTGAAGATGAACATTCTGCTAACATCTCGCACTTTTTTTCCTCTTAGCGATGATGTTTTATTTATGATTTTTTATTACATTGAAAGCATCGTAAAACATGTGGAATTTATTTTACTGTGTGCTTTCAGCAACAAAACAAGCTGCGGGAAAATCTTGTAGATAATAACTTTCGCGAGGTTTATCTTTTGGGGTTGCTTCTGTTATCTGAGAGTAACATAAGGCATCTTAAAGCCAGGAAAAAAAGCAAAGCCGTTAATGAAATAATTAAGTAAAATGACTTTACCAGGAGCGAAATTCTTTTTTTCACATCTTTCCCCTATCTGTTCTATTTGTTGTACAATGTTGTTCAAACAAAAATAGGGAAAATAGATAAATATGGCAAGAAAATTAAAGAGTAGAAGAAAAACAGACCAAAGTTCATGAAAAGTAAAGAGAAACTTAAGAAGGGGAAAACTTTTGTTTCTGTTGCATTTTGGGATGTTCATTGATGCTTCCTTTTCTCATAGTCTTCTATTGCCCTTATTAAAAGACGAACATGACATCTGACAGCATCAACAACAAGCCATTTTTTGTGCAAATACCATCAGGTTTCTTTCGGTCGCCTTCTTCCTTTCGAAGTCTCATTATTAAGTTTAACAAATCATTGTTTGAGGAGACAATCACTTCCGATACTTAACGAGCTTTTGATTCGGATATTTCCTTGTGTTCATTCTCGACATTGTTGTGGGTGGAAATTTTTTACAGCTGCAAATGATTTTGAGAAGAGAAATTTACGATTTTTTTTCCTTTTTTTTCTGCCACCACAGAAGAAATTTCTTTCGATATCGAAGTGAAGAAATAATTTCATTCGTTCTTCTTCTTTGTCTTCCTTAATTACATTCCGTGCATAATTAATGCTATTATCTCGTTTGTTTGCTATCTGAAGTGAAATGCTTTCTTGCTGACTTTGTGAGAAAAGAACTTCGAAGTGTTTTTTGTTTTAGTTTCAAATAAATTCTCACAACAAGGAGAATATTTTTGCATTAAAATTTAACTTCTCATGCATTTTTATTTGTTTTCGATAAAAAGTTTCTGCTGTTACTGCAAAACTAATAAAATCGGTGAAATAATTGGAAAATGTCCAACATTTGCCTGTCGATCCGAGAGTTGAAGTTTGAAGAAACAGAAGCAGAAACAAATTGTGTCGTCGTAAATATAAAATGTGAAACATTTAAAGTGAAAAATTCTGCAAAGCTTGCAACAGAAGTAAATCGATTTTCTGTGAGCTTCAGGAAAACTCGTTCAGCCTTTAAATTGCATTCATTGATGTTACTTTGTGTTGCTGCTTTAACGTTGAAAATCTGTGCATTCGTCTGGGAGAACCCGAAGCGAAGCTTTTTGTGAGATGAGCTGATTTGGTTTAAGATCAAAGATCTTGGTTGGATAACAGTTGAGAGTAGCAAGAACATGCACATCCGATTGACTAGCACGACACTTGCTTTTATTTGAGTTCAGTGTTGAAGGCAAAAGTCAAAGTGGGAAAGCGGAAAACTTTTCACATGTAAAACTTAAACTTGAACGTCGTCAATGTTTGAAATCAAACGAAATTTCCGCTTCCATATTCGAGAATATTTTGTCGAACACTCAAAGCAGTTGAATTCAAAATCATTTACAACTAAAATCTTTAAGCTTCGTTACGCTATTTACATTCATCCAATTATCTTAATTTTCATTTTCCTTCAATTCTTTACATTGAAACTCCATTGGGTGAAAAATAAAAATCTCGACCTCAATTCATTTCATTCCAAAATGCGTCGTTGCTTGAATTAAGAACGATAGTCTCGAGGGCACGTTTTATTATTTTACCCTCACTTTACTCTCTATTGAACAATTCACAATTTACATCAAAAATGTGGACATAAAAAAGTGAAATAATTATGAACACAAAGTGAAGGAAAGAAGCAACTTTTCAGTCATATTAAAGCAACTTTTCCTTTTTGCTTTCGTTGCTGAATTTTCCCCATTGCTTTGATGATGACGTGAAACTTTCAAGAATTGCTTCAAATTTCTTTTTTGTTGGAACTTCAAGAGCAACCAACGGCAAAGTGTCAAAAAAGGGAGAAACATGAAAAGTCTTTTTAATGAACTTAATTTCCCACTATGATCTCATCATTTTCTCGTTAATTCGATCTGCCGATTTTCATGATCGAAAAACCATTAAACTTCACTCAATCGCAACATCAGTCACGGTGATGATGTTCCAATATCGTTTAAATCATACTTAATCGCTTGTTATTCCAAGTCACGCTACCAAAGCAGGAAGTGTAAAAGCACATTTTGTAACGTTCTCAAAGGTAGATAATTGAATTAGACGCACGTTCGAGTACTTTCTCTTTACTTCATTTAACTTTGAGTCGATGTAAGAAACAACTTCGCAGACACATTGAAATTATTATTTACTTCGTCATCGTCATACCAACTTTCTTGTGTTTCATGCATCGCTTTAGAATCAAGCGCCGTTGTCATGCTTACTTTTGTAATGTTGCGTTGATTAAATTTGCCATAAAAGAAGAAGTTAAATGAAGTTCACCAATTTGGTTGACTTCCATTTAACAGAAACTTGAGAGACAATGACTTTGTTACTTTCGAGATAATTATCCTAACAACCTGAACATCAACAGAAGGCGAATTGTGATTAGAATGTGACAGCAATTCTCTGTGACAAAGAGAAGTTTGTCTATCGTCGTCTTGTTGACGTTGATGTTAGGTTGAAGCCACAAATTGCATAAATTATTCATAAAGTTCTTCAATGCTATCGACATGAAACTCACCTTCCCATAAGCTGTTAATCCTCCATGTTTTACATCGTACTTCGGTGCATCAGCGTTGCTTGAGTCAGCCCAAGGAGTGTGACATGTTGATGTGAGCGTCATATATCGAACGCCAAGCGAATAAAATGTCCGCAATACTCCCAAAGAACCACCCAAAGAGTGTCCGCCCTCAACACCAATCAGGGAACAAATTTGTCGATTTTTATGAGCTTGATTGATATCTGAAAATGAAGATGAAAATATCGCCATGAATTGAGTAACCAGCACTTGAATTTCCACAAGCGAATCATCAACTCAATGAACGAGCATTAAAAGCTTTTCATGTTTTCTTCTGGGAAATTTCACATGCATTTCTAAAATTGCTTTCATTGTTTGAGTTTTGCATTCCAGTTGCTAACCAATGCAACAAATATTTGTTGTTGATCAAAGCTATTTATCTCCAATGGAGCCGACAATTATTTTCAACTTCCCTTCATTTCTAAAATGCATTCAAATCCCAGCAACAGCAATGAGATGCATAAATCGTTTCTTCATCAAACAGAGAAGCTGTCGGATGGCGGAAGTCAAAACGATGTCAACGAAAAGCTTTTAAGTTTGTCAGAACAACTTTTACTTAATTAAGTTTTTTGAAATGTTTTCAAATTCACAACAACAGCTGCAGCTGCAGATGCGAATGACTTTACACTATCGATGACTTATAATTGAAAAGAAAATAATTTTATTCCACTATTACCGTAAACTGAAGAGCATTTTGTCATCTGAGGCGAGTATCGGTCGGTAAGTCGCTCAATTATGTCAATTTGCTCGAGCGTTATCTGCACAGCGTCTTTGTATTGAGCTTCACATGGCACATAAGCAGCCCAGAACTGGAAAGGATTAGAAAAGATTTTTCATAAACAATTAACTTCCTAATCAATCAAATTGATTGACAACTCACACACACACACACCCACGCACTCACATACATTATCAAATTGTCGAAAATGTAAAAATCAATTTCTTGTTGTTTGTTTCTAAACTTGAAAACAATTTTCATGAATAAATTAATTCAACAAGAAAACATTTAAAGATGATGACGACGACAATTTGACGTCGTTTATTCGAATTTAATGTCCAGGATCAGAATTTCTTCACTTCGTCTCAATTTGAGGGATCGATTTGTCATCGTTTTACGTTCACGCTTTTTGTGTCTGCTTTCGATTCCTGACTTTTCCAACTCTAATCACACGACAATTGACAACAGCACAAATATATTTTATGGGAGTTCAATAAACACAATTTAAGCGAGAGAAATATGATCTGGAGCCAAGTAAGACTGAAGGCAATTTTGCGTTGCGAAGAGTGAAGAAATGAAAAGAAGAATTTTCTCATAATTTTCCTTCTTTTTTATTTGCGGAGGAAAATTCCACAACAAATTTTTATTATCTCGCAATGTTCCTTTTATTCGCCATCGCCATTGCCATTGCCATTGCTTCCCAATTCCTCTCGCTCCTATTTAAGTATTATCATTTATGATTACAAACGAAAACGTCGCCAAAATGCAAACAAATAAATTCACGAAGGCAACAAATAAGAGATGAAAGAAGGAAAATTTTATTGAATTATTGAATTTAGACCAACGAAGAAGATGGAGGCGAATAAACGAATCGAAGAGAATCGAATTGAATGATGATAAATTCCAACATCATTCGAGTCGAATAAGTAAAACTTTAATAAGCAAATCGATATGTTTGACATGTTGTTATGGTTTGACTGTGGCCGTGGGCAACTTGGCACACAACGCACCACCAACCAACACATCTCGTATTGCTAATGGAACGCAAAACATTTTTTATTGAACTTATTCTTTATTTCATTCAATGACAACGAGCATCTAAGGAACGATTCATTCTCGTTTTTCTTTCGACCACAAACCCCTCGTCAGAAGTTCTGCGAAGACAACATAAAAGTTTTCTTTTTCCTGCTTTCTTACCCGGAAAATTGAATGTGTCTGCTCTTCTTCCTCTTCTTCTCTGTTTTCTCAGCCTACTAACTTACATATTTCAACTTGAAGCACCACCCACACTCATCCCAACATTATTACATCATAAAAAGCTTCTCAAATCGAATTTCTTTTCAAGCTCTCACATTTCAGAAGATTTGCAAGACACTTCTTAGGTTTCACTTCGGGCTTAATTTTATGCCGATTCGGAACGATGAAGAAATGATAAATAAAACTTCTTCACTTCTTTCCTTCCTTTGGCACTTGAAGTTCGTTGAAGTCTTTTCAATACGCGCGACACACAACACGACGAAAATGAATTTTCATGATTGTAATAAAGATTCGCTAACATATTTGATTTCATCGCATGTTGAGACGTAAGAGTGTAGGCGTTTGCTTCTGATAGATTACGAAGTTATTACTACACCGACCAGATGAGATGAGATGATGATGCTGATGGCACGAAACATATTTAGAAGTATGAGAATTCCTTCTGTAACAAGCTTTTGTATTTCGAGATGAATACTGGAATGTTTATTGAAGTTTTTCCTTTTTCAAGCTGGAGATGGAGACGAAGCAAATTTCACGGATCGTTGTGCATGTTCATATGAAGTGAACAAATATGAGACAAAATGCTTTGAGAAATTTAAATCTATCCCAACCGCAGATAGCGACGGCAGTTACCGGGACAATTTTTTGTTTCATTTTCAACATTGAGTGACTTGCTTGGCGGCGATTTCCTCGATTTAACATTTTTTTATTCGCTTTACTCACTTCCTTACTTACAATATGCAATTTATTTCCATCGCAGACTGTGTCATAAAAATGCTGTGTGCTTGCTATCATGTGTAATGCTGGCGATGTTTATTTAATATGAATGTAAGTAACATTTTGCCGAGGATTCATGTTTGGAGATTTTGGGCAACCACAACGCATAAATCCAAGCAATAAAAGATATTAAAATTTACGTATGCTGAGGAACGCAATTGTTACATGTTCTACATCATTGCGAATAATTTCTTTTCATATTTATGATAGAAAATCCTTCATCGTTTACAATGAAACGACCGAGATCACCATTTTATTTCGTGTTAAATTTTAGAATCTACAAATGATGTGCAAAGAAATGTCAAGCACGAACTTTTGAGTTTATTTTACGACCACATTTTAAACCGCACGGAAATTCTTCTTACCGCTGTCAATGATGATTCATGAAATTTGAAAAACTTTCTTGCTACGAACAAATCCTGGTAACTTATTGTTCTGTCTAAATGTAATTCAGTTTACTTCAATTATGAAGCCACCCGCAAATTGTAATTATATTTTCAAACCCTCGACTGTTCCGGTTGATACTCGAGAGTAAAGAAAAACATTTTTAATTAATTTTCGTTTAGATTTATACTTCTAAATGAGTGACGGGAGAGAAAACTTGGATTACATTTTAACCTCAGCTCATTAATTTGTTTATTTTATTTAATTTTATTGGGAGATCGTGACCGATAAGCAGTCGTTCGGCTTAAATCGGGGTTATATAAAAAATGTAAAGTATGGAAAGTTGGAAGTGTTTACCTTTTTATTCAAAGTTTTGTAATTAAAAAAAGTCTAAATTTTTTGTGTCGGGTATTAAGTGCTAACCTAACAGTCGTTGAATAACCTTTAGAGTTCAATAAATAAAATTAATGTTAAGTAAACATCTGTGGAGTTATTAAAAGTGAAACTTACATACAATCTTCGCTCAACGGTTAACCAATGCGAACAAACATTTTACTCGTTTCCAACAAACCTTCAACTTTTCCTTTTGCGGACATTTTTCTTTGAGTCTCAACCTATTACAGAAAAAAATCCCTGAGGTAATTCTCACTGCACTTAAAGATCTTTGAGTTGCTGTTTCTCCGTTTCGCACAGCTCTGCTCTCTAAAGATTTCCCAAAAAATACTTTCTTGAGAAGATTCTTCTTTTCAAGCTTTTCAAAGATAAAAGAAAAACTGAAAGAAGCGAAGGCTGAGTGTGTAAAAAGATTAAACAAACACGAACAACAATTTAGGACGCTTGGGGGTGAAGAACAACAAAGTAAAATTCGTAACAGTCTAAGAATTTTCTTAACAATGTTTCGTTTAAAAAAAATTCCAAGTACAATTGAAAACTTCGACATAATTTTTCACAATAGCAGAAAAAAGTTAAAAAAAAAGAATGAAACAAAAGTTCTTTAATAAAATTTAATCATAACACAATGGAACGAACATCGAGACAAAGTTTGTAATAATTTTTTTGTTTCATTTTTTTTCTATCAACGAACTTCGAGTTTTCTGCGCTAAAAAATTCAATAAAGTTAATTAATCTTTGAGGAAAGTTTTCTTTTTTATTTCCTCGAACGATGACCTATTTCAAAACTAAAACTGCAGCATTAAAAAAGTTTCAAGTTCAAATGATTTTAATAAATGATGAAAGCTGGTAAATTTGTATTTCACTTTTAGATAGTCAACTCATGCTGTGGAATAAATGAGAATTTTTTCATGAATTCAGCATCCTACGTGTATGTTAAAATGAATTTGCTAAAAAAAAAATTTTTGCTATGGTGAGAATTAAAAATAAATTGCATAAAAAATGAGAAGAATAATTCAAAAATAAAGGAAGAGAGAGAGAGAAGCAGAAAAGCTTTTCATCTGTCGGAACATTTATGTTTGTTCTAAATTCATACAATTAACAATATTGCATGTCCCACTCCATAGTCTTGCTTCAGTTTGTGTGTTATCTGACAGTCATTCTCTCTGGTAGATGCTTCCGAAACATTCATTGTGTGAATTAATTTTCATGATCGAGTTGTTGTTTCCTTTCTTCTTTCTTCTCCAAACTGAAAACAACTGCGAGTGAGTTAAGCACGTTAAAAACATTATTTTATGCATGAGATTTGCAATTTCATTCATTTTTATTCCCGACAGATAAGCATGATGATTTCAGTGATTTCTTTTTATTCATCTTTGAATATTTTCATTCTATAATTTCATTTCCTAAAACTTTCTTAAATACAATCACGAAGTTAGAACAATTAACATAATGAGACCACCTGTTGATGGGAAAAGTTTCCTTTCTTCGCTCATTTTCATAGTCAAAAGTTTATAATTAATCTGTTGTGAAAACTGAATCATTATTTTCCAAACTTACGCCTACTTAGCCTTGTAAGAAAGTTAAAATTCCTTTGTATCTAATGATGCGACACTGAACTTTATGAATGGTGTTGGCGTGCTATTATCAGTTTATTATAATAGAATTTTTGATGAGATAATTCTCATTTTTCTCAGCTACTTAAATAGAGCTCTTGAGCTGCCTCAATATTCTCTCGTGTCGACGATTTAGCGATGTCGTAACTCAATTCCCTTGACGTGTAAAGTTTAACTTGAATGAATTATTAAAATTTCTCTTAGTACCCACCACAAGCGTGTCAGCTTTTAGTTCAGGTTGGAAGCATAAGGAGCTTCATTCATTCTGTTTTAGACACACGAAAAATTGAAGTCAATTTCCACGTTTAGCAGGGAGCAAGAACTTTCAGCGACTTTTTTTTTATTTTTCATTTATATAAGCCAGAAAAATGGGTCAAATTTAGGAAAATGATTTATTAATCTTTATCATGATGCCTTGAGCGACTCTGTGTTGATATTTTGGTGGAAAATTGAATGAAAATTTCTGCTTCTTGGTATCCTAGCAGCATTGTCGTTTAGATATTACTTATGGTTATGTTTATGAAGACTAAATTAGCTGAATGAAATGTCGAGAAATCCTCACAGCAATGTTTATTTTGTCTCTGACGTAAATATAAATGTTGCTGTAAAGGAATGAAAAGATATCTCATCCTACCATGCCCAGGTACATAAATATTCATGGAAAGAGTGATTTACGAGAGATTCTTGTTGTTTTGTATTGTAAGTTCTCAATTACAGAAAACAATGCAAGATTTTTTTTACTCAGTGATGCCATGTCAAAATTGGAAATCCTCAATTTATCAAATAAAAAAACAAAAAAAGAAATAAGCATGAAAATTGTGATAAAAGAACAAAAAGTAAAACTTTTCATTCTTGTTCGTTTAGACATCAGTCAACAAAGATTTCTATCAGGAAAAGAGGAAAAAGATTTCCTTTCGTCGAATTTAAGTGAGGGAGGGTGCAAGGAAAAAGGTGTGTAGTTGAGAATGGCTAATTTTTTTCTCCTATCCACCCTCAAATGAATCTTTCCCCATATTACGAGGCAATTGTTCTGTTCTGTATCTTTTTCACTTCGCTTGATGTTGCCTTTTGTGTCGAAATGATGGGGACAACTGCTGAACCCATCCATGATCAAATTTCATATTCGACTCACGTTTATTTGCTTCTCCTTTCTATTGTGGAATGTGTGCTCTCAAAATACTTTATTGCCCAAAGACTAACGATAGTAGGTACCTTTATACAAAAGGAAAAGTAAAACGAAGAATGATTGTAGGAAAGTTGTTTGTTAGAATACGTAATAGCGATTTTTTTTATTTTCTTTCTTTTTCCACGTCTTGTTTGTTTCATGATGGCGACAAAACGGTTCAAAAATGCAAAATCTCATTTAACAATCTTTCATGTTTTATTGTGATTGCCGACACTCAAGTATATTTAAACATCTGATGCTACTCTTCTTGTTTCTTTAACTTATCTTATTTTCTTTTCAATTCTATTTAATTACTAACTTGCATGAGAAAACGACAAAGTTTTCATGTTGATTTTTCAGTTTCATGTTGAAAGTCATTAGTATGCACGACAACGAACCAATGTTTCGCTGATTTCAATTTGTTTTTCAAGAAGAAGCCACTAACCAAAACTTTACGAGATGTAATAAAAGTTTTCGAATGAAATTTGTAATTTTAAATGAAATAAATATGTTCACAATTAACCGTTAAATTTAAATGCAAGGATCTATCCAGGACACATTTTCAAGTTGAATGAATTCGCTCCATCTAAATTCGTTAATTTTTCAACGTTTATTTTCCCACAGTTTTCACCTTCCTGTTTTGATTTGGATCGTTTGAACTAAAATAAACATTCATCTTACGATCTTGAACGTCCACACAAAACAGACAAAATTATGTAAAACACACATTTAAATGTAAATGACGACGATCTAGTTCATTCCCATAAACAGTGTCGAATTTCATCTTGTGCAGGTTCTCTCAGCATGCATCTTATCTCGTTCAATTAGCGCCACATCTGTTTTCAGTCTTGCTGTTATTTTTTGCATTTAGCGAATCCAGACGCACATGTTTGTCGTCGATGCAATTTTTTTTGGTAGCACAAAAAATTTCGGAAATAAGAAAACTAAAAAAATAAATCACAAGAATTGTTTTCGTCATTTATGAGACTTTCTTTAAATCTGACTTGAAGATATCTATATGCACTATGTATACAACACATCTCCGTCAACATAAACTTTTCTTTATTCTATCTCACATTTATTGAGTCGAGAAGAAACAGCAGACACGGAAATTTTCATTTAAAAAAATTAAAGAAGTCGATTTTTTTGTTTTTATTTATTTTTAGACCTCGTTTTCAAAAAGATGTGGTGCACGAGAGAAGATCTTAGAGTTAAAGACTTTTTCCCTACTTTTTCTTTCTTTCTTTTTCATTTGGCTTCTGATCGTGTTCGTGTTAACATCAAAACTTATAACGTTTGTGATGAAATGAAATTTCTTACTCAAATAGCACAATTTAGTGAATAAAGAGAGACTTTAAATTATTTCTGATTAAGTAATAGTTGCAAAGTTAGCAGCTGATTAAGCATAGCGGGAACATTTTCTGGCCTTGAATAAAAGAAAGAAAAAAAAATTAAGCAATTGACTCATGAAATTCAATGAAAGACGAAGCGAAATTATGAGCGAACAACAAAGTGAATGTTGACTGTTTATTATTATTTACGATGCTATAAAAAATATTGCGAGTTGTAAAGTGAAAAAGAAAAGGGAAAGAATTTTTTTTTTGCTATTTCCAGCATCCTTCGCAATCACCGCAAAGAAAAACTCTGAGCGCATGTCAGTAATCTTCCAACAAATTTTCATCCACCTTCCAAATTTATCTCTGCGAGTTTTTGCGACATAAAAACGGGGAAGCAAGATAAAGTCTGTGAAAAAATTGCAAATAAAAGTGTAAAAAGTGAGATAAGACAACCAAAATTTGTTTAAAATTGATGTTAAAGTTAAAATTTAATGAAATAACATTGAAAAGACTTCCAAAAGTGTCGATAAACTCGAGAAATTTTCATTTGTTTTTTAACCAGCGGAAAAAAGAGAATCGGGAAGTTCACATCGCTATAGATGTGTATAATAATGACGGGGAGAAGATTTTCTTATTCTCCGTGATTGTTGTTGTATATTGCGCTTTGTGATCATGAAAATTTTGCAACAGATTTTCTCTCAAGGAGTTTCCCAAAAGAACTGAAGAAAAGAAAAATCAAATTTTACTGAAAAGACACATTTTTACCAAATTGAAATCAATGTAATTACATAATAAAAGCGTAGGAAAATGGATTTGAAAATATCTTATCGATCTTGGAATTGTTTAAAGTGAAATAAATGTGAGTAAATGCGAAGCAAGAAGCAACTACACCTACCCTACCTCAGAAAAAAAGGAACGAAATAAAGGAAAAAAAAGTTCTATTTGTGCAAACAGTGAACATCACTTTAAAATGTTGCAAAATTTTGATAGACAAAATCTTGATAAAGAACATTCCAAAGTAAACTAAAATATTCGGAAGATACAGATGAGAAAAATTTTAGTCATGAAGCTTCTTTATACGATAATTGTTCTTGGTAGCTTAGTAATCATAGCCAAAGCTCAAAGGCCATTAAACACAACTACAAATTTGACATCTGTTCTTACGGAACCTTTCTTCGTTAAGCCAACAAGTGTGTCAACGAAACAGATTTATCCAGGGCCTGAGCAGAGGGGAGGCGGAGGCTCAACATATTATTCAAGTGTACATGATACGCCAGGAATTCGAAATAAAGAACGATTGGCATCCCCGCATCCAAATTCCCATTTAGACATTTTCATTCCGCCATTGAACACTGTTGTTGGCGGACAACAATCTGCACCACAAATTCCAGCACCCAATAATCGTCTTCATAAAGTTCAGAAAGGTCGAAATAAGTTCAACGATCTAAGGGCTTTGATGAAAAACTCAAATGGCACGAGATATTTTGAATCACACAGCATTGGTAAGAAAGTCAGCAAACCCGAGCCACGCGTACAACCAACAGATGACTCCGACTCGAAAGATGTTAGTCGACCATCGTCAAAAGGCGAAGCAATTCAAAAGATTAAAGATCTGCAAAGACTTCAAGATAATCAACACACACCTTCACCTCCATCATACAACATCGATGACATCGACTTCGATGAGAAATTGGGTGTGAAATGTTCATTTGAGAAGCCATGTGCTTGGACATTTGATAAAGACGTCATCGGTGAGAATTTTAAAGTCACAACTGGTGTCATGTTGAAGGAATCAAATGTTACAGGTTTGTCGGTCATTATTCACTTCCATATTTAATGATTAATTCAATTTCTTCTTTAGGTGTAACGCCAGGTCCACAAGCTGATCACTTAAATGACGCTAATGGTCATTTCTTGCATTTACATTTGACATCTGAAACTGGAACAAGAATTTTAAAGTCGCCAGTGTTCAGTTCAACGAGAGAGAAATGTTACTTGGAAGCGTTTCTTCATCAAAGCTCAATGTTTAAAGGTTCGATAAGAATTGTTATTGAACCAGTAGCATCGAAAGAGAATTCTTGGGTGCCAGCTGAAATCATGGGCGATGATTTACGTAAATGGAAATATCACACATTCGACATCGATCGGTAAGTTTTCATTTCAAAATATTTTCTATGAACTTTCACAAAACGAAACTTTTTTTCCTTTCCAATTTTCAGTGTGTCAAAAGACTTTCGAATACTTTTTGAAATCGTTCCAAACAATATCAATGGCGCACTGCGTGGTCATGTCAGCATTGACAATCTTAAAATGAGAAATTGTTTTGCTGATTCACCACGAAAAGATTCTTGTAGTTTATCACAAATCAAATGTAATGAAAGTCGAATTCCTGTTTGTATTGAAAATGCTCGCATCTGTGACTTAGTTGAAGATTGTGATGAGATTGAAGATGAATTGTTGAATTGCGGTTTGTTATTTAATTTACAAAGCTTTCATAGCTCGGAAATTAATGAATTCTGTAACTTTTACATTTCAGATAAAATTCCGTTTGGTGGTCGATGCAATTTTGAGAATGGTTGGTGTGGGTGGCAAAATTCTGGAAAGGCAATTATGGAATGGACACGTCACAAAGGCCCCACACCAACAGAGAAGACTGGCCCGGAATTCGATCACACATTTCAACATACCAACATGTCTGGTTATTACATGTTTGTAAATATGAATCAACATGCAAGTGATCCCGAGAAAACAGGCTTAGCTGGCTTTGCAAGCAACGCAGTTATGAATTCGGTGATTTTTAACCCGCCACCACCATGCCACTCAAACTCAAGTTCACCTTATCGCAACACTTGCATGGCGAGACTTTTCGTTCATCAATTCGGAATGAATGCTGGAAGCTTCAACATTTCAGTGGTTGAATTGAAAGCAAAGGAAAATATCACCACAACTTTATGGTGGTCATCGAAAAACATCGGTGACAAATGGCATCGAGTTGAAGTTGTTCTTCCAAACATAACATCGAAATATTTCTTGCAAGTTGAAGCGAGAAAGGGAATGAGAATTTATAGTGATGTTGCTATTGATGACTTCTCGATGAGTCCTGAATGTTTCGGCTTTAACATTCCATCAGAACATTTAGGAAATTATAATTATTGGGATCCAAGAATTGGAATTTATAAGAAGCCATACGTTGACTTCATTGATAAGAAATGTAAGTTCACTTCAACTTTTTAAGTGTTTCCAGCCTAAAATTTGAATTGTTTCTTCAGATTATGAATTGTCTACTTGTGGAGCTCGAGGCATTCACGGTCCAACACCCGACGATTGCTTGAAATCATACAACAACACCGACATAATTAATCACGTGCGTGTTTCTGAAAAGGCTCCATTCAAAGGCGTTCAGATTTGGAAGGTTCCCAGTGAAGGATATTACACGTGAGCTAATTGACAAAATTAATTTAAAACTTCTTTATTAACATAATTCATTTGTTGACAGAATAATCGCGAAAGGAAGTGGTGGTGGCCTCGGTTCGGGTGGCGTCTCATCATCTCGTGGTGCAATTGTCAGCTCCGTCATTGAACTACATAAAGATGAAGAAATTTACGTGCTTGTCGGTCAAAGTGGTGAACATGCTTGCATAAAGTCAATGGGCTTTCAAGACGAATCATGTTCAACACCAAATGCAAAAGCTCCTGAACAACTTCCAAAGCTACACCTTGTTAAAGACATTTACATAGAAAATGGAGGCGGTGGAGGCGGAGGCGCGTCGTTTGTTTTCTTAGTAAGAAATGATATCTTCTTCATTTTTTAACATCTTGAAGCTTCTTGAATGTCAATTTCTCTCTCTCTCTCTTTAAAGTTGAATCAAGTAAACAAGGCTGTTCCTTTGATGGTGGCAGGAGGTGGAGGGGGTCTTGGAATAGGACGTTATTTAGATGATGATGTGCAACAAGCGCGTGGTGTTACAACTGAGAGAGGTGACACGAGTGGTCAAGTACAAATTGATAATTTTGATATAATGCCAGCCGGGCCAGGTGGTGGATGGCGAGCAAAGCAAGATGCAGCTTTAGATCCACATTTTGGTGCTTCTTTATTGGAAGGTGCCCGTGGTGGTATGGCTTGTTATAAAACATCTGGAAAGCATGGCTTCGGGGGATTTGGTGGAGGTTAAACAAGACTTGCCTTTTACTTAGAAATTGAAATGAATTTACGAAGAATTTTTTGTTTACTATCAGGTGGCGGCGGTTGTGACACTGGCGGAGGTGGTGGCGGTTATGCTGGTGGCGATTCAATGATAAATTCGACAAATGGAGAGGGTGGATCCTCATTCTTAGGCCTAACTAGAAGTATTCGTGAATTGTCGTTCATTTATCCCGGGTCGAATAGCGGTCACGGTTCAGTTATCTTAATTCCTGCTATTGAAGGATGTGGTTGTGATTATCGTTGTGTAGCACTCGACGAATATCGATCGCTTGTCGCTTGTATCTGTCCTGAGGGATGGCGTTTAAAATCAGATAATTTTACAGCATGCGAATGTAAGTTTAACTTTAATTAATTCTCTAAAGATATAAATAATTTCTCATGCGTTTGGTTTCATGTTTCAGTCATAGATGAATCATCGCCGAATGACATATTGGTGTATCTTCTTATTTTTATAACAACTGTATTGGCTATTTCATTAGTTTTCTTATTTATGATGTTGTGTAAGTTGCATTTAATTTATTTTCTCATCATAACGAAGGAAATAAATGAAACTTCCTATCTCACTTAGATAATCGTTTCCAAAGACGACGACAAGCTGCAATGCGCTCAAAAATGCTTCACGAGCAAGATGTGCAATTGAGTCGATTGAGAGCAACAGCTGATGATTCAGCATTAACGAACTTTAACCCCAGTTACGGTTGTGAAGGGATCTTAAATGGAGGAAGTGTTGACGTAAAAAGTTTACCACAAGTGGCACGAGAAAGTTTACGTCTTGTCAAGTTCGTCATTTAATTTTGATTATAATTATCTTGAGTTAATGACTAATTAATTTTATACAGAGCACTTGGTCAAGGAGCTTTTGGTGAAGTTTATCAAGGACTTTATCGGCATCGTGATGGCGACACTGTTGAAATGCCTGTGGCAGTGAAAACCCTCCCTGAGCTATCAACAGGTCAAGCCGAGTCGGACTTCTTGATGGAAGCAGCAATCATGGCAAAGTTCAATCATCCAAACATTGTTCATCTTATTGGCGTTTGCTTTGATCGACATCCACGATTCATCGTACTTGAATTACTCGCCGGTGGTGATCTGAAAAATTTCTTACGTGAAGGTCGCAATAAGCCCGAACGACCTTCGCCATTAACAATGAAAGATTTGATATTTTGTGCTTTGGATGTTGCAAAAGGTTGTCGCTATATGGAGAGTAAGCGATTCATTCATCGTGATATTGCAGCAAGAAATTGTCTGTTGAGTAGCAAAGGTCCAGGCAGAGTTGTGAAAATTGCTGACTTTGGAATGGCACGCGACATTTACAGATCTGATTATTATCGTAAAGGTGGAAAAGCGATGCTTCCTATTAAATGGATGCCACCAGAAGCCTTTCTTGATGGCATTTTCACATCAAAGACAGATGTTTGGAGCTTTGGAGTGTTGTTGTGGGAAGTTTTCTCATTGGGCTTGATGCCTTATACAGGTTTGCCTAACAGAGACGTCATGCAGTTGGTGACTGGTGGTGGTCGTTTAGGTAAGTTTTAGTTTCTGAAAATCACAACTTAAACTTAATTTCTTTCCTTCATCAGATGCACCGCCGGGATGTCCATCAGCCATTTACAGAATCATGGCAGAATGCTGGAATCCAACACCAGAACAACGTCCGACATTCTCAACACTCTTGGAAAGATTGACAGCATGCACTCAAGATCCTGACATCATGAACTCACCATTGCCAAGTTTCTTTCGTCCACCGTCAATGGAACGCGACACAACCATAATGAGACCTTCAAATGAAGATTTTTGTCTTCAAGTTCCGAACTCTTCCGACTATTTGATTCCATTGCCTGACTCGAGAGCGATTGCAGAACGTTTGTTGACTGAAGCGACAGGCGTCACTATACCTGATACTCTCTCCACCTACACATTGACAAATTCACATAAAATGCCAGAACAGAATTGTTGGGAAACTTCATTTTCAAAGCCAAAGTTGTGTAGTAATGACAGCATGGAGGTTTGTTTCTCATTCTTAATAAAATTTCAAGAAAATAAATTAAATTTTAATGTTTCGTGTAGGATCGTTTGATAAGTTTGGATACTCCACATCAAACTCCAACAACCATCGATCCACCACAGCCATTCTGCAATAGTCCAGTTCAAAGTATGCCATCCAATATGAATAAAGCAAACTCAAATGCAATAACTCTTGATCCCGCTGCATTACAACAAGGATATGCTAATGTGAAAATGCTCAACACGACAAATGTCGACAAGATGGAGACCGACATGTCAAAATATAATGGAAATGTGAATAATAATAATAATAATAACATTAATAACATCAACAATATGCCGAAAGATAAGAATGCAAACCAGCCATTCTCAATACAAGGTTACAGTGAAAATCATTCGGAAATAAGCTGTTAAGCTATTTTATTGTATTTTAACAACAACTTTAAGAAACTTTCCACATAAGCATAGCTAAAAAAAGAGAGATTGAAATGAAAATACGTATGGAGACTGAATAGATGAATTTTAAATCGAAAAAAAAAGAATTCTCTTTAAAAAGGGAAGAAAAATCAGTTCAAGATTAATTGAAGAGTCTTTCACTTGTTTCATCATGTTTTTAAGTAAAAGAAAAAAGAAGTAAAATCTGCTCAAAAAATATTCCAGCTGCAAATTTAGAAAGTTAGTAAACGCCATTAAATTAAAGAAAATATATTTTTTATTAATACATAGGATGATTGACAAACAAAAGCTTTAATTAACCAAAAAAAGATGAAGTAAAAATGATGGAAAATTTAACAAAGAGATAAATATATTGATGTGAATTTAAAAGTCCATGGTAAAGTGTACTCTGTAGTAGATAATTTTAATTAAGAACTTTCTCTTAAATCAATGATTGATGAATAATCCAAGTAAATGAAAAATGTATGGTAAACATACTAAAAGTCAAAACTTAATCTCATGTTTTAAGACTTTAAAACGCATAAATATAAACACTGAGAAAATGGAAAGTAACATTGATGCCGAGAAATGGCCTCGAACATCAATAAAAGGAATTGAACAGATGTCATGAAGGCACTTTAAAGCTCATAAAACTTTTTATCTCTCATTGACAAAATAAAACGAAAAAAAAACATAAATAAAACAAGAAGAAACATTTTTTCTGAGTGTTGAATATTGGATTAAAAATTAAAGGAAACCAAAAATGTATATTTGAAACGGCATAAGAGAAAACTTCAATTATAAACTGTGTAAAATCTTCGTCTTCGTGTCAAACTTAACTGGAATATGAAAGTTTGGAGGAATTTTGTAAATAACTATATTTAAATATAAACGGGTAATACTATCAATAACACTTTAACTTTCGGCCTTAATTAGTTTCTGTTTCTGTTTCTAAACTTTTGGAGTTTTATGCAAATTGCTTTTGTGAACATTAATTTTTTTATCAAGATATTCTCATCTCTAAAAGAAATTTAAAGGATAATGTTCTTAGAGCATGTAATTCTAGCTATCACGTAATTTTCACAATTGAGTTTGTTGAAAAATAACACATAAAGTGCACAGGGTAAAGTTATTACGAAAAAAAAAAATGTTCAATTTCGTTATAAAATGTTTGAGAAAAAGAAAAATTTTGTGATGATTTGTTTTCCTGATCAAACGAGAACAAAAAGAAAACTTAAAGTTTTATTCGATTACACCAGCTAACCAACATAGAGGAAAATTGTTTGCTGTTAAAGTAATCGATTTTTCTTAATCACAATTACATATTATTATGATTATTATTATCTATTATTAAAGATTAACGATGTTGAATAGAGTTAAGTGAGAGGATAAAATAATATATTCATGTATTATTGAAATGTATTTCGTAACGAAAACTGTACATTTTCATATTATTAATTAAGAGCAGATTAAGCCTAATGAAAAAAATATTAAAATGCATTCTAGAATGTAGCTAAATTAGTGTTTCAAATGAAAATTTTATGTACCGAGACAAATAAGATTTATAGTCAAAAATAATTCCATTTTGAGATGTTTTTCAGTTTCATTGATAAATTTTAAATTTGGTTTTGTTTTCTTTTTCTTTTTTTTATATAAAAAATTAACAAAAATAGAATGTATAACAACGAAAAAGATAAAAAAGTTTCATGTAAATTTACACATCACATCTTTTCATCATTGAATTTTTTAAATTTTATCCTGCTACAGAATTGGCATAGATTTATAGACATTAATCAGTGTGATATTGAAAAAATGAAGAAAAAATATTAAAAATGTCTTACATTGTGGAAATTTAGTGAATAAGGAACATCACATAATTGAATGAAAACTGTTAAGTATCCTAACTGATGACAGATGTTCAACACTTTATTATGTTGCAAACAAATCGTTTTATATCAAAATGTTTAGTTGATACTCGTAAACGTATAAAAAGTAAATAAGAATGATAATGAAGAGAAAGAAATGTTCGAGAAACGGAAGAA